TGGCATGGGGGTTTTGACCTGCTCTATTTCTGACCTGGGCTGGTCCACCTCTCCTTAGGACAACCTGGCAGCCCCAGGCTCCCCTAAAGCCACCATATTGATACCAACCTTAGTGTCGACACCCACTCAACCTAGCACAGAGTAGACCAGAACTCCTGGACTCAAGCAATCCGACAGCCTCAACCTCCCCAGTAGCTGGGATTACAGGCGCACACCACCGCGCCCGGCGATGGAAACAGTTTACAAAGAGATAGTAAAACTTCAATACCAAATGATGACAAAACTCTGCCATCTAGAGTCAATATTGCTAATTGCAATTGCTTTATTAACATTACAATAAACATATTGCCAAAGTACAGCATGAATGGAAAACTGGGAATTCTATCAACACATTAAGGTGCGATAGAGTGGGGAAGGTGGTGGTGGGGGGGGGGTGTAGATGATTGCAGTTGCACAGTATATATTAATGTGTGCATGGACAAAGCATACACAGTATCATTTCTTTTGCATCCTGGTACTGTTTTTTGGCGTCTGCCTTAATCGATAATTGCACCGCACAACTTGTTATGCTTCTTCAATGCCTCATTTTTTTTTTTTTTACTGTAACCCCCTGTTTTAGTCCACACCCTTCAAAAAATTAAGCCATTACTATTTTCTGCCACATAGTCTAGCACTTCTTTATCATTCTACAAACTGTCCTCCCTGATAGACATCTCTGAACCAGCATTTGCAGAACAGAAGCTAGGAATGGTAACCTCCATATTTCCTAAGGCTAGGTTCACACCTATGCAGTTGGTGTTTGATCTATTTCCACAGTGTTTCTTGTGATGTTTTTTGGATTTTTGCTCATGCTTTTTTTTATGCGTTTTGAATTTTTTTCCCCCCAACTTGTTGCTGGGCAGATTAAAACGCAAAATACATAAAAAATGCACTACATACTTTCTGCAACATCTCCAATGAAAAAAGTATCAGACCATTTCAAAAATTCGCACCGGGTGAAAATGCGTTGATGTGAACCTGTCCCATAGGAAATCATGTTAAAAGGAATGCTGTGTGTTTCTGCAAAACACATCAGATAATGCATGGGTGTGAACCTAAACTAAGGAAAGTTTTCCTTTAATTTAAAAACAGTTGTAAGCACAAAGCTACATTCATACAAATATGTAGCAGAGGATTATCCAATATTGAGATGGCGGGGGCCACCTATGCACACAAAACATCTCACCAATGCTTTGGCACTCTGATTGGTACTAGTTAGATGCATCTAAATGGTGACCTAATGTTATAGAAATCTTCAATATATCATATTTACTGTATATTAAAAAAAAGATTCATTAAAGGTGTAAATAAAAGACTGTGTCCTGCTGTATCATCCAGGCTGCTCTACACTGGCTATTCACAGGTGCAATCCCACTACTGATCGGCACAGGGATTTTGACCTGCTCCATTTCTGACCTGGGCCGGTTCACCCCTCCTTAGAGCAACCTGGTAGCCCCAGGCTCCCCTAGAGCCACCATATTGATGCCAACCTTAGTGTGGACACCCACTCAACATAGCACAGAGTAGACCAGAACTCCTGGACTCACGCAATCCGACAGCCTCAGCCTCCCCAGTAGCTGGGATTACAGACGCACGCCACTGCGCCCAGCGATGGAAACTGCTTACAAAGAGATACTAAAACTTCAATACCAAATGATGACAAAACTCTCCCATCTAGAGTCAATATTGCTAATTGCAATTGTTTTATTAACATTACAATAAACATATTCTCAAAGTACAGCATGAATGGGAAACTGAGGTGATTGTAGCCGTATTAGTGCACTTGCGACAAAAACAATTGAGTACTGTCCGTGATACTTTTTTTATTTGCAGTAACGTACAATTTTGAGGACGAAAGCAGTACTGCAGAGACCTAGCCTTAGGAAATATGGAGCTTACCATTCCTAGCTTCTGTTCTGCAAATGCTGGTTCAGAGATGTCTATCAGGGAAGACAGTTTGTAGAATGATAAAGAAGTGCTAGACTATATGGCAGAAAATAGTTATGTCTTAATTTTTTGAAGGGTGTGGACTAAAAAAGGGGGTTACAGTAAAAAACAAAAAAATTAAGCATTGAAGAAGAATAACAAGTTGTGCGGTGCAATTATCGTATAAGGGCAGACGCCAAAAAACAGTACCAGGATGCAAAAGAAATTATACTGTGTATGCTTTGTCCATGCACACATTAATATATATTGTGCGACTGCAATCAACTACACCCCACCCCCCCCCCACCACCTCCCCCCACCCTATTGCACCTTAATGTGTTGAAAGAATTCCCAGATTGCAATTAGCAATATTGACTCTAGATGGCAGAGATTTGTCATCATTTGGTATTGAAGTTTTAGTATCTCTTTGTAAACTGTTTCCATCGCCGGGCGCAGTGGCGCACGTCTGTAATCCCAGTTACTTGGGAGGCTGAGGCTGTTGGATTGCTTGAGTCCAGGAGTTCTGGTCTACTCTGTGCTATGTTGAGTGGGTGTCCACACTAAGTTTGGTATCAATATGGTGGCTCTAGGGGAACCTGGGGCTATCAGGTTGTCCTAAGGATGGGTGAACCAGGTCAGAAATGGAGCAGGTCAAAACCCCTGTGCCAATCAGTAATGGGATTGCACCTGTGAATAGCCAGTGTAGAGCAGCCTGGATGATACAGTGAGACACAGTCTTTCTTATTTTACAACACCTTTTTAATGTATCTTTTTTTTTAAATATACAGTAAATATGATATATTGAAGATTTCTGTAACATTAGATCATCTTTTAGTTGCATTGAAAAAAAATCACAAAATAAAACAGACCCCATATTACATAGTAATGCATGAAGCAACAGCAATCTGAGAATTTATCCCAGAATTCTTGAGATGTAGCCAGTGTAGTGCAGCCTGGACAATACAGTGAGACACAGACTTTTTCACCTACACAGCTTTACAAGCGCTGGGACTGAAACTGACCACTTGGATTATTTATTTATTGATTTGTTTGGTTATTCTTTGTAATATTTTACATTGGTGACTTTTACAATTGATTGCAGCATTGATAATCTGTGATAACTAATGAAGGGGTCCTGCATTGTTCTGAAACTTAGCGTTTTTACCACTGACATGGAGAAGGGGGCACACGGAGACACCTAGGTGGCCTGCATGTAGAGAATCCACACACAGGCACAGTGGGGCGGCAGACTCCTCAGTGCCCGGCTGAGAAGAGATGTGATCCTTGGCACAGGAGGCAGCTCCCTGGCGCCCAGCACACCACTTTTTGTGGGCTACATGCAGGTACATGCAAAGGGAAAGGGGGGGGGAGCGAGGGAGGGGGGACCATGACATATATTTACTGTATATTAAAAAAGATACATTAAAGGTGTAAGAAAAAAAAAGGCTGTGTCCCACTGTATCATCCAGGCTGCTCTACACTGGCTATTCACAGGTGTAATCCCACTACTGAATGGCATGGGGGTTTTGACCTGCTCCATTTCTGACCTGGGCCGGTTCACCCCTCCTTAGGACAACCTGGTAGCCCCAGGCTCCCCTAGAGCCACCATATCGATACCAACCTTAGTGTGGACACCCACTCAACATAGCACAGAACTCCTGGACTCAAGCAATCCAACAGCCTCAGCCTCCCAAGTAGCTGGGATTACAGACGCACGCCACCGCACCCAGTGATGGAAGAAGTTTACAAAGAGATACTACTAAAACTTCAACACCAAATGATGACAAAACTCTGCCATCTAGAGTCAATATTGCTAATTGCAATTGCTTTATTAACATTACAATAAACATATTGCCAAAGTACAGCATGAATGGAAAACTGGGAATTCTATCAACACATTAAGGTGCGATAGGGTGGGGGTGGTGGTGGTGGTGGGGGGGGTGTAGTATGATTGCAGTCGCACAATATATATTAATGTGTGCATGGACAAAGCATACACAGTATCATTTCTTTTGCATCCTGGTACTGTTTTTTGGCGTCTGCCCTTATACGATAATTGCACCGCGCAACTTGTTATGCTTCTTCAATGCCTCCTTCTTTTTTTTTTTTTTTACTGTAACCCCCTGTTTTAGTCCACACCCTTCAAAAAATTAAGCCATAACTATTTTCTGCCACATAGTCTAACACTTCTTTATCATTCTACAAACTGTCCTCCCTGATAGACATCTGTGAACCAGCATTTGCAGAACAGAAGCTAGGAATGGTAACCTCCATATTTCCTAAGGCTAGGTTCACACCTATGCAGTTGGTGTTTGATCCGTTTCTGCAGTGCTTTTTGCTGTATGTTTTGAGTTTTGGAAACATGCATTTTTTATGCGTTTTGCATTTTTTCCTCCAACTTGTTGCTGGGCAGATTAACCACTTGCCTACCAGGCACTTATACCCCCTTCCTTACCAGGCCAATTTTCAGCTTTCAGCGCTGCCGCACTTTGATTGACAATTGCGCGATCATACAACATTGTACCCATATGAAATTTTGATAATTTTTTCTCACAAATAGAGCTTTCTTTTGGTGGTATTTAATCGCCACTGGGAGCTTTACTTTTTGCGCTATAAATAAAAAAAGTGCAAATAATTTGAAAAAAAAAAAAAGTTTGTTTCTTTTATAAAATTTTTCAACCAGGTATTTTTTCTCCTTCACTGATGTGCGTTGATGAGGCAGCACTGATGGGCACTGATAGGCGGCACTGATGGGCACTGATAGGCAGTACTAATGAGGTGGCACGGATAGGCGGCACTGATAGACAGCACTTATTAGGGGTCACGGATAGGCGGCACTGATATGCAGCACTGATAGGCGGCACTGATAGGTGACACTGTTTATGGGTACTGATAGACGGCACTGACTGGCATCACTGCTGGGCACTGACTGGCGGCACTGACTGGCACAACCCCTGGGAACTGACTGGTGGCACTGACTGGCAGCACTGCTGTGCTGCACTGGTGGGTGGCACTGGTGGGCAGCACTGGTGGGTGGGCACAGGTGGGTGGCACTGGTGGGCACAGGTGGGTGGCACTGGTGGGCACAGGTGGGTGGCACTGCTGGGCACATGTAGAAGGCACTTCTGGGCACAGGTAGGTGGCACTGCAGAGTGGTACAGGTGGGTGCACTGCTGGGCACAGGTGGGTGCACTGCTGGGCACAGGTGGGGGCACTGCTGGGCACAGGTGGGCGGAGCTAGTGGGCGCACTGCTGGGCGGAACTTGCGGGTGTCATTGCTGGGCACCGATCATCAGGGCACTGATCATCAGTGCCCTGATGATCGGTGCCGATCCCCGCTCTGACAACTGCCGGTTCTCGGCAGTACTTTCCTCACGATCTGACAGCGTGAGGAAAGTGCAGCCGAGAACCGGCACTTGCATATCCCTGTGATCAGCTTGTCATTGGACACCGCTGATCACGTGGTAAAAGGCCGCTGTGATTGGCCTTTTACCACATCACGTGATCTGCTGTGTCCGTAGGACACAGCAATCACGGAGATCGCCGGGTGCGCGCCCCCTGGGGGCGCGCAGGAGAGCGCGTTCTGGGAGGACGTCATATGACGTCCACCCAGAACTGGCCGGCCGCGGTGAAGCCGTCATTCGGCTATGCGCGGTCGGCAAGAGGTTAAAACAAAAAATGCATCAAAAATGTACTGCATACTTTTCGGCGGCGTCTCCATGGAAATATATAGAACCAAAAACACAACATTTTGCATTGAAAAAAGTCCCTGACCCTTTCCAAAAAATGCACAGGGTGAAACCGTGGAGATGTGAACCTGTCCCATAGGAAATCATGTTAAATGGACTGCTGTGTGTTTCTGGAAAATGCAGTGGAAAACGCATAGGTGTGAACCTAAACTAAGCAAAGTTTTCATTTAATTGAAAAACAGTTGTAAGCACAAAGCTACATTCATACAAATATGTAGCAGAGGGTTGTCCAATATTGTGATGGCGGGGGCCACCTATGCACACAAAACATCTCACCAATGCTTTGGCACTCTGATTGGCACTAGTTAGGTGCCTTATACTGTCAGCAATTTGTCTGATAAATGCCATTCAGGAACTTCATTAGAGCTGATCATCAGCATACCGGGGAACTTGGCAGATAAGACCCAGCAATGCTGGAATATTGCCAGAATCGTTTACCTCTTATGAATTCTGGGAAAAATCCTTGGATCGCTGTTCCATCATGCATTGGTATGTAATATGGGCAGGGGCGGACTGATCATTCGAGCACTCGGGCACTGCCCGAGGGCCTGGGGTCAGTAGGGGGCCCCATAAAATGCCCCTGTTACCTTTTTTATTGGCTTTATTGAGTGTGGGCAAGGACACAGGGGCCCTATGATGCCCTATTGCCTGGGGGCCCCATGAGTTGTCAGTCTGCCCCTGAATATGGGGTCTGTGTTATTTTGTGCTTTTTTTAAAATGCATCTAAAAGATGATCTGATGTTATAGATATCTTCAATATATCATATTTACTGTATATTAAGAAAAAATACATTAAAGGTGTAAAAAAAAAAAAAAAAACTAGACTGTGTCCCACTGTATCATGCAGGCTGCTTTACACTGGCTATTCACAGGTGCATATAATAAACTCAAAATCGGTGTATGCTATACAAAACACGTGTAAATATAATCTGTGATACATCCCTAGACACCAGAGAATTACTTTCTCACCTGAAAGTCTAAAGCAAAAATCAAAAGTCCTTCTCAGCGTCCATATAATCTCAATAGCCGCTAATGTAATATAAAATATTCAATATCAAATATTCTTTCTTCTTATGTAATAATATTCATCTATCTGCGATAGACACTTCATCCTCCAAATGTCATCCCGAAAAGAAGGAAAATAACCACATATAGGATATTATCCTTAATACATTCACATAAATCATTGGAGATACACTCATTAAATCTGTGAAAAATCATGCTAAATCATTCCACCATGTGTCCTCTTTCATGTGTCTGTAATCCTTACTCTTACCCTCAATTAACTTGAAAAAGGCCTTGTGATATATTCCACCAATAGACTTCTCAAAACTGCAACCTCTTATCTCATTCTCCCCTTCTCAAGAGATGTACCTCCGAAGAAATTAGATTACAGTGCAATATCTTCCATATCTTTCAACTGTGTGCTCTCGTGCTCCCCTCAATCTTCAAATATGACCACCAGTACTGCCTGGGTGAGCACTCCACCGCCTCCCAAACCATGCACCTTACCAGATAGCTATAGTCCACCAATATAAAAGTCAAATGGCTCCTCTCAATCAGTGACATTCGCGGCTTCCAATAGCATCATCTCTTGTAGCAGAATAAATGGATATATAGTGCAGTATGTTTAAAATTCCACTATTTATTATAAATAAAAAGAGCTTACAAACAGCCAGCATGTAATGCACATCTCATCTCCAAATCAGCATTAGCATTTGAATGTTCAAAACCACTTCCAAGATGGTCGCTCCAAGACTATCGGTCTATGTATGACGTCACATGCTGACGCGTTTCATCACTTCTGACTTCATCAAAGGAAAAACAGTTGTAAGCAAAAGCTACATTCATAGAAATATGTAGCAGAGGGTTGTCCAATATTGTGATGGCGGGGGTCACCTATGCACACAAAACATCTCATCAATGCTTTGGCACTAGTTAGATGCATCTAAAAGGTGATCAAATGTTATAGAAATCTTCAATATATCATATTTACTGTATATTAAAAAAGATACATTAAAGGTGAATAAAGAAGACTGTGTCCCACTGTATCATCCAGGCTGCTCTACACAGGTGCAATCCCACTACTGATTGGCATGGGGGTATTGACCTGCTCCATTTCTGACCTGGGCTGGTTCACCCCTCCTTAGGACAACCTGGTAGCCCCAGGCTCCCCTAGAGCCACCATATTGATACCAACCTTAGTGTGGACACCCAATCGACATAGCACAGGGTAGAACAGAACTCCGGGACTCAAGCAATCTGACAGCCTCAGCCTCCCAAGTAGCTGGGATTACAGACGCACGCCACCGCACCCAGCAATGGAAGCAGTTTACAAAGAGATACTAAAACTTCAATACCAAATGATGACAAATCTCTGCCATCTAGAGTCAATATTGCTAATTGCAATTGCTTTATTAACATTACAATATTTCATATGCAACTGTCTTGCAATTTTCTTCCAGGAATTTCCTATCAATGAAAAGAACTGAGTTTTGACCTGGGATGGTTCACCCCTCTTTAGAACAACCCAGTAGCCCCAGGCTCCCAAGAACTCCCGGACTCAAGCAATCAGATAGTCTTTGCCAGCAAAGGAGCTGGGATTACAGACGCATGCTACTGCACCCTGCGAAGGGCATTGCTTGCCCTGAGATACTAGCAGCTCAAAGCCAAATAATGGCTCAACTCTGTCATCTAATATCATTATTGCTAATAGCACATTCTTCATTCATGACCCTGTGATCTATTTTTCAAGAAATCATTTCTTTCTCTGTTCTCCTACCTCCTTGTAACACCCTTCATAAGCTCCCAGGCCTCTCATTTCTCCTCTCACTTCCGTTTGTTTGGGACATGTTACTTGTGGTCACTGCTCTATTCACACTACAAATCCCATAGTCCATCTGGGGTGTGGACAAGAGACAGTGGCTGCAATCCCACATACAGTGGGACCATGGAGAAAGAACATAGCCACCTTCTAAGAGGAAGTGAAATCACAGCAGCAAGAAAAAGGAATTTGGAGGAGACTGAGAGAGCAACACAATCAAAGAATATATCGCCAGCACACCATGTATCTTTAAAATAATTTTTCAAGTATTAATTAAAGAGATCACATCACAGTGGTAAAAACGCTAAGTTTCAGAAAGATGCAGGACCCCTTCATTAGTTATCACAGATTATCAATAGTGCAATCAATTGTAAAAGTCACCAATGCAAAATATTACAAACAATACCCAAACAAATCAATAAATAGTCTAAGTGGTCAGTTTCAGTCCCAGCGGTTGTAAAGCTGTGTAGTTGAAAAAGTCTGTGTCTCACTGTATTGTCCAGGCTGCACTACACTGGCTACATCTCAAGAACCCTGGGATAAATTCTCGGATCGCTGTTCCATCATGCATTACTATGTAATATGGGGTCTGTTTTATTTTGTGCTTTTTTAAATGCATCTAAAAGGTGTTCTAATGTTATAGAAATCTTCAATATATCATATTTACTGTATATTAAAAAAAAAATACAGGTGTAAAAGAAAAAAAAACTGTGTCCTACTGTATCATCCAGGCTGCTCTACACTGGCTATTACAGGTGCAATCCCACTACTGATTGGCATGGGGGTTTTGACCTGCTCCATTTCTGACCTGGGCCGGTTCACCCCTCCTTAGGACAACCTGGTAGCCCCAGGTTCCCCTAGAGCCACCATATTGATACCAACCTTAGTGTGGACACCCACTCAACATAGCACAGAGTAGACCAGAACTCCTGGACTCAAGCAATCTGACAGCCTCAGCCTCCCAAGTTGCTGGAATTACAGACGCACGCCACAACACCCGGCGATGGAAACAGCTTACAAAGAGATACTAAAACTTCAATACCAAATGATGACAAAACTCTGCCATCTAGAGTCAATATTGCTAATTGCAATTGCTTTATTAACATTACAATAAACATATTGCCAAAGTACAGCATGAATGGAAAACTGGGAATTCTATCAACACATTAAGGTGCGATAGGGTGGGGAAGGTGGTGGTGGGGTGGGGTGTAGTTGATTGCGGTTGCACAGTATATATTAATGTGTGCATGGACAAAGCATACAAAATATCATTTCTTTTGCATCCTGGTACTGTTTTTTGGCGCCTGCATTAACCGATAATTGCACCGCACAACTTATTATGCTTCTTCAATGCCTAATTTTGTTCTTTTACTGCAAACCCCTTTTTAGTCCGCACCCTTCAAAAAATTAAGCCATAACTATTTTCTGCCACATAGTCTAGCACCTCTTTATCCTTCTACAAACTGTCCTCCCTGATAGACATCTCTGAACCAGCATTTGCAGAACAGAAACTAGAAATGGTAACCTCCATATTTCCTAAGGCTAGGTTCACACCTATGCAGTTGGTGTTTCATCCATTTCTGCAGTGCTTTTTGAGGTGTGTTTTTGCATATTTTCACATGCGTTTTTGATGCGTTTTGCATTTTTTTTTTTCCAAACTTGTTGCTAGGCTGATTAAAATGTAAAACGCATTAGAAAAAGCATCAGAATCACATAAAAAAAAATGAAATACATACTTTTCTGCAGCATCTCCATTGAAGTCTGTAGAACCAAAAATGCAACATTTTGCATTTAAAAAAGTCCCTGACCCTGTCCAAAAAATGCACTGGGTGAAATTGTGGAGACGT